AAGTCCTAAAATGTGTGTATGAGTAAATAAGCTAACGATCTAATAAGCAAGGCGCCACTAGGCGAGTACGCAGGTAAAAATACACTCAGTAAATTAGCAAGCCAGTAGAGATGGAACAGAGGAACTCTCAAGATTTTCTCGCAGAAGTATTCGAAGGATTCGACCCTCTTCTGACTACTCTGGTCGGTTAGGGTCTTTGTTCCGCTTTCTGTTCACAGTATTTTTGAATTCGTAGGAAATCATTTTACGCAGGTCGATAATAAGTAAGGAAATAAATGAATGCACAGGGAGTAAATAAATGCGCTATCTGAACTGTTCTCGTTATGGGGGCGCAATGAGCGCAAGTAAATGCTCCCCTGACACTCTCTGTGTTTCCCGACTATTATTATAGTAGATAAGCAGTAATTACTTAAATAGATGAATAGAATAGAAATGTACATAAATATGTCAGAAAGCAAGATAGAAGTGTAGTATGTTATTAAGTAGCAGATGAAGTGAAAAGCAGCACTAATACTAAAATAAGTACATGAACATGTTAGCAAGTACAAAATTGATTGATTAGTAATAGACATCGCTAAAAAAGTGCGTAATTGAAAACCAGCTAAATAAGGCAGTAAGTAAATAAATTATGCGAGTAAGTTTATTTGCTATAATTATCTTTACCATCCTTGCGAAGCTGCAGGCTGCTTATGACCTGTGATTTCTGCTCATTTCGGTTGGGAATAAGCACTAGACCTGAACAAGATCAGCAGTAGAGAAAGTAAGTAGGTAAATAAGTGCAAATATATAGGGAGTGAAGGAGGAAAGGAGGCAAATAAGTAAATCCACTATATATAAGTTAAGTGAAGAGGTTAACTGGTAAATGCAAATACATATGAATGAAAGTAAAATTGTAGCAGACGACGTAGAAAACGACGTAAGCAATAAAGTAGGTGAGTTCATAAGTAAGTTAAAAAAATATTAGTGAGTGACTACTGATGAAAGCAATTTGGCAGAAATTACGTACCTAAGTAGTAAAGTAGTCGTGTAATTAGTAGCCAGCAAAAAATTAAGTAGTAAAGTAAATAAATAAAGAAACAAGTAAACCATTGAGTAATTCAATTAAGTAAATGGGCAAATGTGAGTGGATTGGCAGAGAAGATGCAAGTAAGCGGGTAAGTAAATGCATTCGGTGAGTAGGTGGGTGATTTACGTACGTAAATCACTAAGTCAGTTAGTACCTACGTCAAGTGTCACTTGCGAAAGTTAGTATACAATTAAATTAATACACAGACGACTAAATAACAGCTAAATGATTAAGAATCGGGATAAAATAATCAGTGCTGTCTCAGGAAGCAAAGGAAGTGATGTAGCAATAACCAGATGAGTAAATAAACAAATCAATAAATAATTACACAACTGCGTAAATAAGTAACAACCCAAATTTTTTATCGGAATGCACGCCACCATGTTATTCATGCGTTTACAGCGCAACAGTGGTAATAGGTTTAAAATTTATCTAAATTCCAACTACCTTAACCATAGCAACTTAGTGTGTAAGTGCCTGATGGTAAGTAGCTACCACATTTTCCTCAATAAAAGACAAATAAGCAAATCAGTAAAGTGGCAGATAGGCACGTGGTCATCCAATTAAGTAGAAATGTCAGTAAATTAGAAACGAAAGGGAAGGTAGCCCCAATTGGTAAAAATCTCACGGAAATTTGTTTCAGAGGTCTACTTGTCTTTGGTCCATTGTGACTATTGCGAAGCAATAGAAACCCAGAAATGAGCACATTTATAGCAAATCTGATCGTTGTTTAAAACTGCTTAAATCCATGCCTAAAAATGACCAAAAACGATGGCTCTGATCAATGAGGTTAAAAGTAGTGGAAATCACCATTCTTAGGTGAATCCATGCCTTTTGAGGATATTGTAAGATTTAGGTGCATAGCAGCAGGTAAATATTCTGTCTGTGCCCTCATTGGGTAACTATTTACTGAATCACAAAAATGATGCCGTTAGTCCTGCTACAATACAATATTCTCAGTCAGTTGTAGTCATGGCAGATCTTGAGAACGCAATGGCAGGGGTCAGCTCATGTTCGGTGCTGCCATTGGATATTTCCACTTCCAGCCGTTACCTGCACCTACTTTCCTGTCCGAGTATTACCCTTGCCTATGAGAGTAAGTTGTAGGTGCGGTAAATGTTGTGGTTTCTGACTTTAGCGATAGATCGAAAGTGAACCTTAGCCCCCACCCCCCTTCCCCATCTGCTTAATGTATTCACAGTAAATATCAGTGCGTTTTGATTTGTGTCTGAAGTTTACGTTTTTACTTCACAGCTGATCACCTTGTCTACCCATTCAATTTCAGGTCGAGAATGAGATTGCATCCTACTCCTCCGGGCACTCATACTTCTGGCGGGACGGCATCGTCGAAAGACGTAAGCGCATGATATTCTGCTATGACTGCAGCGGCAAAGACGCGCATTCCGTGTTCCAGGTGAACCATCTTTAATACTCAGTTACCTAACGCATGCCTACGTCGTTTGTTCATTTCACAGAGTGCCGGGCTGGTGGTCCTGACGGACGCGTTTCTCTACAGAGAGATATTCTTTCGAAGTAAGTTCAAATGTAAGTAGATCATGATGTAAGTGACATAATATGTAATCTCCCACGAGAGGAAGATTTCAATACCGCCAGTCGATATGATATTACAAATAAATACCGATAATACGGCGGAAACTTACAGTGTAAATTTCATTTCTAACTTTACACCGACGATGTTGCAAGGTAAGTGAAAGTCTTACACCGAGTACTGCTCGTTTTCAATTAAGCAATGAAGTATCATATTTTACGCCGTATTATTTATATAACCCTTTCATTGTGCTATACAGTAAACATGATAACGTTATTACTCACAGGAGAAGTCACTTGTCAAATACTGCAATAAGGCTGTACTTAAATGAGATTCGAAAAGGTGCCTGTCTGTTGTTCGTTCAACTGAGCAGCGAGCCATGCCTAAAACATCTGCAATCGAATTTCACGTTAAATTTCATCCTATTTAATTGTGTACAATGTGGTTCATTACGGCCCCATGAAATATATTATGCAGTATGGAGTGCGATAGTGCATCTATAATAACCAAGACGGGGCAGGACAATTTTTAATTTTGGAAAGGAAATTCATACAGTCGTGTGCACTGCAGTGCCATATTCTCTATAACAGAGTGAGAGGTAGTATGATGGAAAACATTGACCACAATGAATCACCAGATTTTATGTTCTACGGCAATTTATTAAAGTAATTCATTTTACAAGGATGCCCTTTGCTGCAGCATGACAGACCCCTACAGTAACGAACTACTCATAGTTCTACCTATTCTTCAACACTCCCAAAAATAGTGGTCATATGGAGATGCTAAAGCACCAGACGAAGGCGAATAAATATTCTTATCCAACTCAACGTCAC